TGTGTGTGTGTGTGTGTGTGTGAGTGAGTGAGTATGTGTGTGTGTGTGTGTGTGTGAGTGTGTGAGTCTGTGTGTGTGTCTAAATAAGTTATGAAATCCTGGCCGCTGTAGCAGTGTGTGAATATACAGTACAGGTGAAAGCAGCCCACGCACGCCAACACCAGCAGTGCATTGTGGGAAAACCCTCATGATAGTTTACCATGGCAACAGTTGTTTCCACCAAAATACTACAGTTACTTTTGGTATTAATTATCAGTCATCACAAAAACGTTATAATTACTACGGTTTAACTTTTTTAAAGAATTGTTGTGTTCGTAAAGGCTGCATTTATTTGAACAAAAATGCAGTAAAAACTGTGAAATATTATTACAGTTTCAAACAGCTTCTAAGTGAGTATCTGTTAAACTGTAATGTATTTTGTGTGTGTGTGTGTGTGTGTGTGTGTGTGAGTGTGTGAGTCTGTGTGTGTGTCTAAATAAGTTATGAAATCCTGGCCGCTGTAGCAGTGTGTGAATATACAGTACAGGTGAAAGCAGCCCACGCACGCCAACACCAGCAGTGCATTGTGGGAAAACCCTCATGATAGTTTACCATGGCAACAGTTGTTTCCACCAAAATACTACAGTTACTTTTGGTATTAATTATCAGTCATCACAAAAACGTTATAATTACTACGGTTTAACTTTTTTAAAGAATTGTTGTGTTCGTAAAGGCTGCATTTATTTGAACAAAAATACAGTAAAAACTGTGAAATATTATTACAGTTTCAAACAGCTTCTATGTGAGTATCTGTTAAACTGTAATGTATTTCTGTGATGCGCAGCTGTATTTTCAGCATCATTCCTCCAGTCTTCAGCGTCACATGATCTTCAGAAATCAGTATAATATGCTGATCTGCTGCTCCAGAAACATTTCTGATTATTATCAATGCTGAACACAGTCGTGCTGCACAATATTTTTGTGGAAACTGTGATGCATTTTATTTTTCAGGATTCTCAGATGAACAGAAAGTTCAGAAGAACAGCATTTATTTGAAATAGACATCTTTTGAAAGATCTCTTTACTGTCACTCTTTTGATCAATTGAATGCATCCTTGATTAATAAAATTAATAATTAAAAAAAAAATGTATATATGTGCAGATCAGTTAGTTAGGGGTCAATAAGTTTTTTTGTTTTTTTTAAATAATATACAGTACATATAATAAAACATTGTTGTTCCACTATTTTTCTTTTATCCCTTATAATATTTGTGTTGTGGCTGGTTGCTATGGAGTTGCTAGGATTTTATTGCTGGTTGCTGTGGAGTTGCTATTTGGTTGCTAGGGTGTTGTAGCTAGTTGCTATGCAGTTGCTAGGATTTTATTGCTGGTTGCTATGGAGTTGCTATTTGGTTGCTAGGGTGTTGTAGCTAGTTGCTATGCAGTTGCTAGGATTTTATTGCTGGTTGCTGTGGAGTTGTTGTGTGGTTGCTAGGGTGTTGTGGCTGGTTGCTATGGAGTTGCTGTGCGGTTGCTAGTGTGTTGTGGCTGGTTGCTATGTGGTTGCTAAGGTGTTGTTGCTAGGTAATATGCAGTTGCTA